TCTACAAAAGAACACACTTTTTAAACTCAGATTTCTATTTACTACTTACTTGCTAGTCAATAATCCATTTTAGTAATGGCATGCATAAATGACATTAAAGATTCTACAGTCATCAGCCATGTGAATCAACTACACTCAGTCCATCATCTTTTCTCCCTCTAAGCCAGTGACGTATCTGACTTCATGTAGCTTTCAACCACTAACTCACATGTTCATAAAACTTCACTTCATCAAATACATCTTTTATTTAAATACCACAAATTAAGACAGGCTTTCAAGCATGTTATTTGAAGCTCTTTTCCTAGAAATCTTTACAAGTATTGGAATGAAGCTTGCCGTTTTTGCAATCAGCTGGTATTTCGAAACTATAAGCTCTCCTAAAGATAAATGATAGCTCAATAACTTTGATATTGATATATTGATTAAATAATTTTCATAATGCTGTCGACATAAATATTGCTATTTTCTACTTTTTGGGGGTCTCTATTTCATTTTTATATATGAGCAGTGCTGCATCTACAGCTTCAGAATCCTAGGCCTGTCATTATTAATGTGTAAAAATAATCCTTCTTGGGCTTATTGAATGTAGTCCCTTACCAAATCTGGAATTGCAGGTAGGAAAATAGTTACTTACCAGTAGTCATTGTATTCCCAGATGAATGAGCTGTGCCTCCATTTTAACTTTACCATTGGCGCTTGACATTGAGAATCTTTTAGCCTGATTCTGTAATGCTCATCTGTCCCTCATCCCACTCTACATTCATAGAGGCAAAGAATAGTCCTGTGGAGGCAGCTGGGAGACCTGGTGAGGTGCCTCTGCCTTAATATTACTTTTTCCCATTCCTGTGTTTGCAGTGGTAAGCATTACTCATTGGAGGCAAAACCAGATGGGAATAACTTTTCTGATAAGCCTAGTTCTTAGAGGTAGGTATGTAAATTGTGAAGACCTAGAGTAATTTAAATTGTAGGAAAGAATAGAAAAATCCTCCTCTTCATCATGAGATAGATGTGCCCACCAAAAGGCAGATTTTAGACCTGTACCTCTACTGTGAATTGAGGAGAGACTAAGCACCTTACTAAGGTGACTATCTCACCTTACTATGACTGCTGTGCCCAGTAACTGCTGAGAGGAAGCACCTGCAGTAGCTTAGAGGAAGTTTCTTTCACAGAATTAAGTTTTTTATGACAATGCCTGAATCCTGGGAACATGGTGGTTATTTCCTCAAAGATCAACCAAAAATCCAGTGCTACCATGTAGTTGTGGTTAATGACGATGCAAACAAAGTTTATAAACTGACATTTTCCCCCCAGACAGATGTGAAGAAAATTTCTGCCTGAGGGCTGAAAGTTGCTGAGGAAAGAGGATACAATTTAAACCAGATGCCAAGTCAGTTTTGAATAAAAAAGCATAGATGAAGCTATCCCAGGCCTTCTACAAAGCCAAAATGTCTCCTGTACCAAGTGCCTATGTCACACAGTTATCTCTCGATAAAAAGGGATGAGAAAGACTGAAACCCAAGTTCTTATCTCTCTTTGCACATCGTGACTAAGCCTCTCAGCTATTTCCTCTGCAGCACCAGGCAATTCTTCACTGTATTACCCTTTTAAGGGGTTTCACTTGGTTTTGTTTCCCCATTCAGTGAAAAAAAGGTTCAAAGGCACAAGAGGAGGCTGATGCTATTTCAGAGGCTTCCTGCTGTTCTTTAAAACATTAAAAACTCTCTCAAAGAATCCAAAGCAAACTTCTGCTCTTCCAGAAGAGCAGAACTGGCATATCATTCCTTTTTGATTCTCTATTTTGGTGTCCAGATGAACTGATTAAGCAATTCATTTTTCCAATTTTGCCTTTGAGTGTTTTTCACACCTTTATTTCTTTACATGTCTTCTTTTTTTTTTTTTTTAGTATTATTATGAATCTTTTCAGGTTTGGGTTTTTTTTTTTTTGCTTTTTAGATCAGTGTCCCTGCTCCAACTAAGTGACTCAGCCACATTGGTTTTGAAATCTCCAGAGAGCTTTTGTAATTGTCTGTGCACCCTTTGAGTGAACTCTACTTCTCAACATGTTAGCCAATTTTCTTCTCTAGTTCATCAGGATAAACACTGACACTACTCTGTTTCTTAATATATTCTTCTTTTTATCCAATTTGGTCTGCCTACAATTTAATCTAACTGTATGTATTGCTCAATTCCCTGCAGTACTTGAAATTCGGACTCTTATTAAATTGTGGTCAGTACTACTCTGTTAAACAGTCACTTCATTTCACCATAATACTTATGCAAAATGAAAGATAAAGCACTATTCCATCTAGTTACAAAATGAGCCAGTCCTTCCATTTCTTATTTGCTTTAGTGCAATAGTCAACATTAAATGAAAATTCTACTTGATGTTGTTCTTCCTAGCCTAATAACTAAGCCACCTTCTCCAGCATTTCGAGGAACACTTCATTATTCTTGCTCAGAGGTAAGTACATTTTTCCTATAAACTTACTTTTCTTCTGTTTCTTCAGGGATCTGCTGCACTGACTCACTTCAACTATTTACATCCTTTTTTTCCATCCAAAATTACTGATGGCTGTTTGCCGTAATGCACCACGTCTTCATTTTCAGATATGAAAACATGAAAACATTCATTGATATTATTATTACTTACTGTTAGCACTACATGGTCAAACTTTAATTCACTCTAATCCATTATCTCATCAAGTTAATTATATTTGAGGTAGGTAAATCTTCTTTAGTGATAACAAGTTTTCTTTCATGACAATATTAACCACTGCCGGATTTACTACATGGATTTATGGGAATGTCTTCTCTCGTCCTTATATCAGGGCGACACAAACTTGCTCATGGTATGCTGGAGCAGCTGTACAATTCCACCAGCAATGCTACAGCCGGCCCTGACATTAACTATATTTTTATAGAGACTATCCAGTAGTACATTTACTCTACTTCCATTTCCAGAGAGCCAGATTATCTTCACAGCTCCATTTCATCTCTTCACCTTTATTACAGGGCTTTACACTTCCAGCCATCCCTATTTCATTTCTCAGTGTCTCTGAGAGAGGCAGAACACCACCTCACACAGCTGTCAGTTATCTGTGGGTGGAGGAGACAAGAAGTGCCTTACTTCATCATAGTGCACAGGTATCTATTAGCTCCATGAGCACTCACTCAACTCCAAGCTGGAAGCACAGAGAGCGTGCATGGAAAAACATGTCAGTAGGCTCATCACCAGTCAGCGTAGGTCTAGTGTGGTTATTTACGTCTGGTGCAGAGGTCTTTCCCCTTTCAGCTGACAAAAGGTTCCAATACAGGGATAATGAGAAGACACATAAACTCATAGAATCACAGAATGGTTTGGGTTGGAAGCGACCTTAAAGATCATCCAGTTCCAACCCCCTGCCATGGGCAGGGACACCTTCCACTAGACCAGGTTGCTCAAAGCCCCGTCCAACCTGGCCTTGAACACTGCCAGGGATGGGGCAGCCACAGCTTCTCCGGGCACCTGTGCCAATATCTCACCACTCTCACAGTATAGAATTTCTTCTTAATAGCTAATCTAAATCTACCCTCTTTCAGTTTAAAGAAATTTCATGGTCAGGGTTAGTTGGAGAGATAATCCATATTCAGCCAGAGCTTTGTGAGCTGCCCTTCCTTAATGCTGCATCAAACACATCATGCATTAAAGACACCAATGTTGAGCTTCTCATTCCTGGAATTAAACCTTTCTAACACGGCTGCTTCCAGGGCTGCTCAGACTGCTGGGAGAGGAATTGAGCAGAAACGCCAGAAGTCACCAGTGGGGAATAGTGGGACTGTCTTTGGCACAATCTCTGGATTGTGGCTGAAAAGGTATACAATGCTGAGAAGCCAGCAGAAATTGGAGTCAAACTTGTGTCAGGCATTAAAGAGAGCCCTGGGTCAAGCCAGGCAACTTCTAGGAGTCAGGCACAGGGTGTTTGTAGTGCAGATGGCTGGAGATATAAGATTGTAGGGTACACAGAGACAGATCAGAAGTACCCTGTGACACTATATCACTTCCTCTCAACTGAATTTCCAGTTAATGAGTTGCTTAAGTGGCAACTTCATTCTTCTCCTCAAAATAAATAAAATACCAAAGGTCACTGGTCATAAGTTCATACCAATGCACATCAATCTAGCTGCTTCCTTCCTTCAAGAGCATAATTGAATTGTTTTAGATGTGAGTCCACATCCATTGCAATGTGTGTGGGTCATCAGGTGACCCAGAGTTTTGGAGCAGCAACAGCTGCCACTAGTTTATGTTCTGAAGTTTACTTACAAGAAATGCTTTTTTTTTTTAAAATAACAAATCAGTTCAATTAACCTATTTCATTGTAATTCAAAGTATAGAAGACTATAGAGTATTAAAGATTGCTTTGGCCTAGAAAACAAGCCTTTTGGTAATAAACATCAGAGAACCAGATACTGCAGGATGGCCCAACCCAGATAATGAGTTAGGGCCCTAATAGTACAAGAGTTCCTTAAAAAAATGCTCTTGGGATTTTTCAGCTTAATAAATACTGAATTGCTCTGCTTCATTTTTTTAAGACTCTTAATTCAAATGCTGAAGTTTTGCTAGAAAATGCAAGAGCTATAAAATGTCTTAAAGAAACAGTGTGCAAACCAGACCCACATACAGAGTTGAAATTTTCATGTTATTGTGTAATTCCAGGAAAATGGGCTTTAAGAAAAATATCGTGAGACACCCTAAAACTGTGAAAATCGTCAATGATGGAATGAGGACCTCAGTCTATATAATAGGAAAGCACCAGAAATACTTTTAGCATGAACCGTGAAGGCACCACAGAAATCAGAAAAAGCTACTTAGATCTTTTGAAACCACATCAACATCATGAAGAGCTGTTAGTCACAAAATGCTGCATTTTCTGATTCACATGTAGATTTTGGTAAAAAAATAAAAATAAAAAAAAAATTTAAAAAGATCAAAACCCAGACAACAGTCAAGAAGAGGAGCTTACCTGGATCACTAAGAAATTCCTCTGAGGTGTTCCACACTCGACCATCCAAATACAATGTGCCATTGGTGGAGTTAAACTTGGTGTAGTCCCTGACACACTTGTGCCGCAAATTGCCCATGAAGAGCTGAAGGCCTATGAGGGCAAAGACACTCAAGCAGAAAACGGTCAGGATCATCACATCGGCAAGTTTCTTAACAGACTGGATAAGTGCCCCTACAATGGTCTTCAGTCCTAGGGAGATAAAAGCCAAGAGTTTATAGGCTGAGAGGCTGAAACATATCGGCAGTTAGCTACTTTTCATGATGAAAATCTCCATGGAAGAGAAAGTTGGAAAGGTTTCAAGTACATGTTTATAACTGAATGGCAGAAACAAGAGCCAGGTGATCAATATGAAGGTTTAGTTGGTTTAGTTTGTGAGGTTTAATTTGGCTCACTTTTGTCTGGACAAAAGTCTTGGTATTACTCTTACACAAACACTAATTTAAAAATG